TCCCTTAAAGGAGGTGGCGCCCCCCCAGAAGGTAGTCTATTTGGTACACCCCTATTTGGTGTACAAGCATTTCACATTTTCCGATTCATACAATTGAAAGGTTCAACACAAACCTGTCTGTGAACATCCTCAGAACCTGGTTTCTCTCCTGGAAACAGATTTTCTGACCCATCAGCCCACCTGAGTTGACATCCTGCAGTTGTTCCTCCAGGAAGAGAGGGATCGCATCCTTCGGGAAGCAAGGAAGGTGGTGGCCAACCAAGCAGGTCATCTAGACAGGGATGCATGCCAACTGAAGGAGTCCCCACAGTGCAACCCCAACGCACCTGAAGGTAGGGGGATTCTATGCCTACACCGCCAGGCTCCACTGGGAGGTCTCCAGGCTGCAGCCAGAAAGCCCATCAATTTGTCCATAATTAGTAATACAAAGTAAGGAGAAGTCCTCTGCAGCTCTCCTGGAGTGCCTTTTGAAGCATATAGGATGTGCAGTTCTATAAATCCAGGGGCAGTGAGAAAGGGCCATAAACATTCACGGCACAGTCCACTATCAGACATCAGGAGGAAGCTGCAGAAGACAGAGGACTTTGAAGGAGAGAACCTATCAGAATTAGCTGGCATAGCAGAGAAGATTTTTAATAAATGAGATGCACAGGAGGAGTGGCAAGTAAGGAAACTGATAAAGGTACTGACATTAAATTAAGAAAAAGGACAAAACCAAGGAGAGCCCCGTGTGGAGAGGAAGGGCTGGGCCCTGTGGATCCAGACCAATGCGCCCTTGGTGAGGTAAAGGAACACTGGGCTTGAGATTGCCTTGAGAAGAAGGCAGGGGCACTGCCCATCATGGACTGCAGGTGCTGTGGCTCAGACCCTCTCCCCAAGCCTCGATCTATAATTGGGGTGGAGGGGAAGCAGACCAATTTCATGGCTGACAACAGGTTCAACACTCTTCCCTCAAGAAATCTATGGGAAAGCTTTCAGGGGAGAGAACTCTCATTCAAAGAGCTAACCACCTGCATGAAGGAATGAGGATGCTCTTGAACTTCAGAAGCAGGTGATCTCCCAACACCCAAGGCCAGGGAACAGACACCAGGCACGGGAATTCCTGGGGACCGTGGGCTACTGTAGCTCTGGGCATCCTGGTTTGTGGAAATTGCAAAGCTCCTATACGAGCTCACTAAAAAAGGCTAAGATTTTGTGAGGACTGAGGAGGCAAATCGTCTTTCCAGGAACCAAGAGGAGCCTTGCTACAGCCCCTGCACTGGCCATCCCAGATGTCAACAAGCCCTTGCACCCGTGTGTGGACGGGCAAGTGGGCATGGCAAAGGGAGTCCTGACTTGAGCTTGGTCCATGGGTAAGGGTTGTCGCTTACCCAGGCAAGAAGCTAGACCCATGGCAGCGGGGTTTCCTCCCTGCTTGCGGATGGTGGTGGCCACAGTCACTTTAGTCAAGGACTCCAGCAAACTGACTCTTGACAAAAACAAGGCATCACAGCCCCCATGCCATGGAGGGACTGCTTAGGACACTCCTGACAGGTGGATGAGCAATGCAGGAGTGACTGGCTACCAAAAACCACTCCTCAACGTGCCAAGGTTACCATCAAGCTTCCCACTATATTGCTCCCACTATGCTGAACTCTGCTGCCCCCCTGCCAGACTAGCTGGTTGAAACACCCCACAACTGCCAGGATGTTCTCACTCAGAGTTCTCACTCAGGATGGCTAGGGCCAGACCTCACTGACACCCCCCTCAACCATCCAGATTTCATCTTGCTCACTGACGGGGACAGTTTGGTGAGGGATGAAAAGCAGTATGCAGGGGCAGTGGTCGTAACTGCAGATCAAACACTGGAGGGCAGCCTTGCCCCACAGAACCAGCCTTGCCCCACGGAACCTTGGCACAAAAGGTGGAACTGGCAGCCCTGATCCAGGCACCAAAGATGTTCAGGGGCAGATGGGTGAACATCTACACTGACAGCAGGTATGTTTTCGGCACAATCCACGTCTAAGGGGTCATATACTGGGAGCACGGACTGCTCACAGCAGAAAGAACAGGCATCAAGAACAAGGAAGAAATTTGGGACTTGTTCCATGCCATCTGGAAGCCGGAGCGAGTGTCTGTGACACATTGTTCTGGACACCAGTGAGAAGGACACCTGTGGCACAAGGATACCACCAAGCAGATGCCACACTGAGAGATGCTGCCCCTGGCCCAGCACCAGCTTGTTGCCCTTGAGGCCCTGCTATACTAGAACCACCATCTACTCAAAAGATCTGGAGTTCCTGGAAAAACTGGGTGACATATGCGGGGCCTTCGGTAAAGGATGAGAAAGGGAGAGTGGTGGTGCTGCGGGTGTTGGGAAGAAAGCTGATGTGGCGAGTACATGACATTACCCATCTGGGACAGCGAAGGTGACAGCTCTCCCAGGAAGGCTCTATGTACTCCCCAACTAGGAAGAATGGCTAGGGGTGTAGCAGACAGATGTGTGCACAGTCAGACTGTTAATCCCGGAAAGATCTCAGTGGGGGAAAGAGAGAAAGAAGCAAGACCCCAGGGATGTTCCAGGAAGTGCACTTCACAGAGACAAAGGAAAGCACAGGCATAAGTGTCTACTGGTATTCAAAGCAGATACTACACCTTCTCGGGTTGGGTGGAGACTTGCCCCTCCTGCCCTGAGACTGCAGGGCCAGAAGCTAAGAAGCTCCTGGAGTAAATAGTCCCTAGATACGGACTCCCCCTGGTGACAGGTTCAGACAATGGCCCAGTTTTTGTAAATTCAATCTCACAAGCCCCAGCAAAAGCTGCTGGCACAGATTGGAAATTGCATTGTGCTATAGGTCTTAGAGCTCGGGACAAGTAGAAAGGATGAATCGGACCCTAAAGGAGCCCTTGATTAAATTAACCTTGGAGCCTGGCAGTGGTTGGGTGGACCTCCTCTTTGCCCAGCTCCAGGCAAGGTACCCCCTTTATCTAAAAGGGATAACTCCTTTTGAGATCTTATATGGTCACCCACCCCCTTTGTCCCCGAATACAGGAAGAAACCCTGGCTGAGATCAGTGATCAGCAGCTCTCCATCCTGTCACTGAGTCAGTCTTATCCAAAGCGCACCCAGTCATGCATGCACTGGAGAAGGGTGAACCAGTGATACCTCTCAGTTTCAACCCCAGCGATTGGGTATGGGTCAAGATGGAAGGGCCCATATACTCTCATCCTCGCCACACCAACGGTGGTGAAGGCAGAGGGAGGGAAGCCTGGATCCATATGCACAATCTGAAAGAGGTATTCAAAGTGAACGTTGACCTGGAGTGGCTCTGGGAGCTGGTGATCACAAATTCTGATGGACTGAAGCTAAAACGAAGAAGGGTGGAGTGAGAATCTGGCCTGGGCTATACCTACTGGTAGGACTATGAGATCTGGGAAACAGGGAGACATGGGGGTTGCACGCCTATGTGTTGGGAGCTGACCCTGGCACTGAGTTTACCATTCAGCGTGCCCCCATACAATCTAGACCGACTGTGGTACAGGAACCCAAGTTAACTGCAAAGCTCACTGCCTCGTGAGAATCCTAATGTGATGCCAGGATCCCGGATCCTGATGCAGTGCTGGAATCTGAGTGACTGCAAGGCTTACTGCTTTGTGTGGCCTTTTGGACATGGACCCCACATTAAAAGGAAAGAGCTGGGTGACACCACCTTGTCTCCTCTCACAGGCTGTGGCCATAGGACCAAACAGAAACCTCTTTGAACATTCCCTTCCCGACTGTGGCCCAACCTATTCGCACAAACTCCAGAAAGGGAGCCTGTTACTTAGTAGCTGAACTCATAGTTGAGACCACACAGCACCCAGAATGTCCTTGGATAGACAGAGCCCTAACTCCATGGGAATGGAAGCTGTGTCAGCCCCCTACTTATCCGCTGGCCAGACCTTCCTACCAAGCCGAAGCGAAGGCCGAAGTTCAGTTGAACCTTATTTCACGCCAAGCAGAGTCCAGACACTGATCGATCAGGGCCGTTTCCCCAGAAAGCGAGTCAGCCCTACATCTCTGAGCCCCTTTTATACCCCAAACCCCAACAATTAACCACTGACTGGTGGGCCTTTGGGTGGCTAGGGACCTTTGGGCAGTGGCAGCTTGGGAAGCTGCTCTTTCCTGGGCCTGCTATTTCAGTTATTTCCTTCTCTCTCCATTCTGGTCTCCCAGCTAAGACTGGCAGTCACTGCAGCTAGGTGGGCCCTAACAATTGCATTCAATATGGTTTTTGAGAGTATAATGGGGTGATTAAAAATAATACAGAACATGATTTCCAATTAAGAACTTAAACATCCAGGGGCTGGAGTGATAATACCGTGGGTAGGGTGTTTGCCTTGCACGTAGCTGACCCGGGTTCAATCCCTGGCATCCCATATGGCTTCCCAAACACTGCCAGGAGTAATTTCTGAGTGCAAGAGCCCTGAGTATCGCTGGCTGTGACCCCCCACCCTCAAAAAAACACTTAAACACTAGTAAAGAAATGTTGTAACAGTATCAGCTACTGAGTTGAAGAGAGCAATAAATGCCAAATGGCCTATGAGGAAAGCGTTCCATAAAAACAAAAGTCTCCAAGAAAGGAATTCCTAGTATTTCCTCTTTTGGCACTATTTTTCAATTTAACATAGTTATGCTGGCAATTTATCTCAGTTAAGCCACATCCAAGTATGAGCTATTGGTGTTCTGCACCAGTGTCAACATACTAAGATAAAACGCAGTGATACCATTATGGAGATGTGACGCTCACACAACAGTTCACAGGCAAGCCTGGAGGTGCAGAAGTTCACCAGCTGTGAGGCTGGCCAGAGGACATGAGGGCTTGTTCAAGGACAGAATAGACTCAGAAAAGCAAGTATAATATCTGGGTAAGGAGCCTCCAGTCCAAATGCATTTGCACACTTGGGTTAACCTGATGCCCTCCCAGGGCTGGGTGGGGCAGTTCCCCACGGCCATGGCCTTTGCTGGGATCGTGCAGTACCTGCAAGTGCCCAGTAGGCAGTGCCCAGACACTCGTTCAGCAGGACAAAGGCCACCAGCGACATCCCACCATTCATCACACCCACCAGGAAGCGAGTTACTGCAAAGAATTCATACGTGGGGGAAAGTCCATTTGCAATAGCAAATAAGATGTCAAGGGCAAAACCTAGGGAAAAAAAGAACAGTAGTTGATGAAAGTCATAATGGTTTTTATCACTTTGTAAAGAAATCTTTGTAAATGTAAATTTTTGGAGCCCCCCCCCCCCACCTTATTTTGGCTTCACTTAAAAATTAAAATGAAAAACATTTCCTTTCTTTATAGAAAACATGTTGGATACTATCAGGAACAATTTTTAATTATTCTCAATAATACTGGAAACAAAGTAAAAGCCTGAAAATCTCATACTCAGCTGCTCAAGAAAACTATTCTGAGTTCTGTGAAGTGCCTCTGAAATGAATCAACAGACAGAGTATAAGGAAATCGATCTAGCAGACTGTCTGAATCTTCATTATACCTAGACACAGGCCTAAATTAGAATTTGGCATTTTCAGGATGCACCATCATCTACAAAAGCTGCTGATGCACTCATCTGGCCATCAGCAGGCAGACTGGATGCTTTGAAATACTTAGCCAGGTGAAAGACATTGAAATAAGGGCCAATAGGACTGGTCCATGGTTGGAAATTTGCCACAAAGGGGGAGAGGGAGTGCAGTTAGGCTAGAGGAGGGACTATTATGACCATGATAATTGGAAATGACCACTCTGCACAGAATTGAGTTCTGAAGGGAGACAAAGTGATATGCATGATACCTTGTCAGTAACAATGTTGCAAACTACAGTGCCTAAAAGGAAAATGAGAGAGAGAAGAAAATGTCTGCCATAGAGGCGGCTTTGGGGCAGGGTTGGGGGTGGCAGGAGGGAAACTGGGACAATGGTGGCAGGAAATGAACTTTAGTGAAGGGATGGGTGTTGGAACATTGTATGAGTGAAACCAAATCATGAACAAGTTTGTAATTGTATCTCATGATGATTTAGTAATAAAAAAAATGAAAAGAAAAAAAAACTTGGCCAGGGTGAACTCTTATTGCAGAGTGGCCAGTTGCCAGAAAACATAAAACGCAGCCCCATGTCTGTACTGCAATTCCCTTACTGCTTCCCCCAGAGCCTTAGGGAAGTAAGTCCTCTGAGGCAGATCACAAACACTCAGACAGGTTACCTGTGAGATAGACTTTCTTCCGTCCGAAGCGGTCTGAGAGTTGACCGAAAGAGATCACACCCACAAACACACCGCCAAAGAAGAAGGAGCTCGCAGCACTGACCTTGTAAGACCTGCTGGCAATTAAGAACCACTATAGGAAGCAAAAACACAAGAGACATTTGATTACCAAAAAGCTGGATGAATTGAGAGCTTTAAAAAATAAAGTGGAGTCTGGAAAGAAAGATGGCGGCCGCACGGGAGCCTTGTGGAAAGCAGGTTTGAGCCGGGCTCGGGGGAGCGGCGGGGACCTCATGGGAAGGGGGGCTTTGTGGGCCGTCCCCCACGCCCCACCGAGGTCGCCAGCTGCCCCCCACGAGCGGCTCTCCGGCACGGCCACGACTCCAGGGCACAGAAACCAATCTCTTAACTAGATAACTTTTAATAGAAATTCTTCCAGGGTCAATAAGTAAAATAGCAGAAATTCAAAACCGCGCGACCGCTATTGCGGCCACGCGACATCATTTTATTCTTAAACCAAGTTGTAGAAAGCAAATCATTTCACAACGCTGTTTCAGCAGGTCTGATTGGGGGGGGGGTCGTAAACTCTAAACAATAATTGTGCATCTTCTATCGAAATAATCTATCTAGTCAAAGTAGATAGAGTATTAACTAGAACTCATCTGCCTCACAAGAATTGGGAGGGGTGAGAGGTGGGGGTCTATTGGGGTTCGGGGTTAAAAATGAGTATTGGTAAAGGGAAATGTGTTCGGCATCTACATGACTGAGACCTAAACCCGAAAGCTCTGTAACTTTTCCCACAGTGATTCAATAAATAAATAAATTATATAAAAAAAAATAAAGTGGAGGAGATTAGCCTCATCATGGTTCTCAGGGGCTATTCCTGCCTCTGGCTCGGGAATTAGTTATGGGTCTGGGGAAAACATGTGATGTTAGGGATGGAACCAGTTGGCTATGGGCAAAGCAAGTGTCTTAACCCCTGTACTATCCCTCTGGTCCCAAGAGTTAGCTTTGAAAAATTCAAATGCTGCTCAGCCTGATACTCTCTATGTGCATCCATTGATAAGCAAATTGTATCATGCTGTGTGAAATGAGTCAGAAGGAGAGGGACAGACATAGGATGCTATCACTAATTTGTGGGACATAAAAAAAAACACAGCATGAGACTAATATCCAAGGACAGAAAAAACAGGGATCAGAAGTACTGGTCAACAGTTGGAAGCTCCCCACAAGTATGTTGTGGGGGGTGGGGTGGGGGTAGAGAAGGAACCACTACGACAATAATAGTTCAAGGATAGTTGGAAATGATATCTCTCTGGACAAGAACTATCTATCTATCTATCTATCTATCTATCTATCTATCTATCTCAGGACAAGAACTGAGCACTGAAAATAGGTAAAAGGATATACATGATAACCTTTTAGTATCTGTATTGCAAACCATAATGACCAAACGAGGGGAGAGGGGAGAGAGAGAGAGAGAGAGAGAGAGAGAGAGAGAGAGAGAGAGAGAGAGAGAGAGAGAGAGAGAGAAAGTGCCTGCCATAGGGGCAAGGGGGTGGGGCCGGAGGGGGATGGGAGGGTAACAGGGGACAATAGTGGTGGAAAATGTACACTGGTAAATGGTGTTTGGAACATTATAAGAATGAAATCCAATTATGAAAAACTTTGTAACTGTGTATCTCACAGTGATTCAATTACAAAATGTTAAACTTTTTTTAAAAATCCAAATGCATAACAAAATCCATACACTGTAACTTCCTTACCAGGAGCGATAGCACAGCGGTAGGGCGTTCGCCTTACAAGCGGCCACCATGGCCGACCCGAGTTCGATTCCTCCGCCCCTCTCGGAGAGCCCGGCAAGCTACCGAGAGTATTCGATATGCCAAACACAGTAACAACAAAGTCTCCAATGGAGACGTTACTGGGCCCGCTCGACCAAATCAACGATCAACGGGAGGGCCTTTACCTTTACATGTTCCACTATTAATAAAAATGTCATTGGGCATCCATCTTGGACAATCTCCATTTCTTCTTTGGTGAAGCTTGGGATCATTGTTTTAATGTGTTTGCACAGTCTTTTATTTTTTTAATTTATTTACTGAATCACCGTGAGAACAGTTACAAAGCTACAGTTTAAGTCTCGGTCATACAATGATTAAGCACCTATCCCTTCACTTGGTGGCAGTGCATATTTTACACCACCAAAAACCCCAATACAGCCCCCTTCCCTCCCCTCCCCATGCCTGTGAGGCAGATGATTTCCACTGAACTCTCTCTCTCTACTTTGATTACATTCATTATTTCGACAAAAGATGCACCATTACTATTTGGAATTTCCCCCTAACAATCAGACCTGCTGAAAAGGCATCAAGAAATAATTTGTTTTCTATTGCTGGTTATGAAGAGCATATGATGTCGCATGACCACGAGAATGGCTGTGTGATTTTGGATTTCTGATATTTTACTAAGTCTGGAGAGATTTCTGCCAAAAGCTGCATAGTTCCAAGATTGGTTTATGTGCTTCTGGGGCCATGGCCGTGCTGGAGAGCCGCTTGTGGGGGCCAACTCATGGTCTCAGTGGGGCTGGAAGGACGTGCCGGTTCCAGCCCTCCATCCCATGAGGCCACAGTTGCCCCATCACCGCTGGCTCATACCTAGTTATCCAATAGGCTCTGAGGTGGCGGCCACCGTGCCACTGGGGGGGTGGGGCACAATGATAGTACGATGGGGATGGTGTTTGCCTTGCACGCGACCAACCCGGGTTTGATTCCCAGCATCCTATATGGTTTCCGGAGCACCACCAGGAGTAATTCCTGAGTGAAGAGTCAGGAGTAACCCCTGTGCATTGCCAGGTGTGACCCCAAAAAGCTGAAAAAGAGAAAAATATATAAAGTACCCCAAAATAGCTCATTGTTTGGAAATCTGGAAAATAAACCAAGCCAATATTCCCACACTAAAATACTTCTAAATTCTTTCTTTACCATTCTTACCATACAAGTCTTTTTTGGGGGGGATGGGTGGAAGAGGCTGGTTTGGGGTCATACCTCGCAGTGCTACCTCGGCTACCCCTTCCTCTGGGCTCTTGGCTGGCTCCTGGCAGTGCTGGGTCACCATAAGCAATACTGGTGACTGGAGCAGAGGCAACACCAGGGCCAGCCACAGACAAGACTTCACTTTTGGGCAAACGATTCATACCACTGTCAACTGACTTCCCTAAACCTCTCTGGCCCAGACTGGTAGGTGATCTGGAGAGTCACTGCCCTTAAAAGTAGTACTCAGAGCAAACAGAAATGTTCTTGAGGCTTCAGAATTTAAATGAGAAAATTATGGACGCAATATGAGAAAAGGCTGAAGCATGTCCCAGACATTTTTTTGTTTCGTTTGAGTGCTCAATAAATAGTTGACTCACTTTTACTATAGGCTAATGGACCATTTGGAACAGTGAGGCTGGAGCTACAGTTCAGTGGGGAAGGCGCTTGCCCTGGATCCAGTTGACCAGGGTTCAATCCCTGGAATCCCATATGGTCCTCTGAGCACTTCCAGGAGTGATTCCTAAATGCAGAGCCAGGAGTAATCCCTGAGTATAGCCAAGTGTGTGCCCCCTGCAAGAAATTAATAATAATAATAAAATAACCCCCCTAAACTATCTGGAACACAGGGAGGGACTGCAGATGTGAAGGATCTGGACAAGGTCTCTGCTCCATGGAGCATGACTTACAAAGGAGTCATGCTCCTTTACAAAGCAGGAAAAACACCAAAAAAAAGTAATGAAGTCATGAAATTCATATACAAGTGGTACTACATGGAAAGTATCCTGCTAAGCGAAATGAGTCAGAAAGAGAGGAACAGACATAGAAAGATTGCATTCATCTGGGGAACATGAAGTAACAAAATAGGAGACTGACACCCAAGAATAGCAGAGATTAAGGACCAGGAGGTTTACTCCATGGCTTGGAGGCGAGCCACACACGCTAGGGGAAAAGGCAGCTCACATAGAGAAGGGAGGACCAAATAAAGTGTGTTGGGAGGATCCTCCCAGGATGGGAGATGCGTGCTGAGAGTAGACTTTAGACGGAACATGACTGCCACTCAATGCCTCTTTTGCAAACCACAGCACCCAAAAGGAGAGGGAGAACTAAGGGAAATGCCCTGCCACAGAGGCAGGGTGGGATGAGATTTGTAAATCTACAACTGTACCTTATGGTGTTTCAATAATAAAAATCTAAAAAAAAAGTAAATGCACAGGAAGAGGCTGAGACAGAGCCTTTTGGGATGAGGGAGGGCATAGTTGGCCTAGGCTACTCCTGGCTCTGTACTCAGAAATTACCCTTTGCCAGGGATTGAACTCAGGTGAGCTGCAGATGAGGCATGTGCCCTGCCTGCTGTGTGATCACTCTGCCCCACAATGTCTTAGAGAAGGCACACAGAGTAGGCCTCACCTGGAAAGGGGGATGTTCATGAGCTGAATGATCCTGAAGAACATGAGAAAAACTACAGTGACCCCCAAATGAAGGCACACCAGTGTGCTTTAGTGGGTACCTTGAAAGGTGGGGCAGGCATCAGCTCACACAGGTCCCTGGAGCATTATTTTAGTGCAAAGGGAAGGCACTGAGTTACTGGCTCTAAATCTCTAGAGCACCTTGGCCATTCTTAAAGAATGCATCACAGTAAGAAAATGGGGATCAGGGGGGAAGGAGATAATGGTAACTTTTTGACAAGAATAGCAGAATGACAATAACCTGGGATGGATATCTTTGTGGGTGTTTTCACTTGCTTTGTTGTCTTTTGCTGTGCTGAGAATTGACCCTAAGGCCTCACACATGCAAGGAAGCACTGGACCACTGAGCCACACATGTGCCAAGTCTATTGGGATGGACTCTAAAGGTGGAACTATCCAGACTTGCTGAGCTGGGGAGGTGGAAGGAGAGAGGGAGGTTTTGAGATTCTTTGAGGATGGTGACGACCTTCAGGGAGACAAGAGAAGGTTGCCATGGGGTCTCAGGTCTGCGGTGAGGAAAGGAACTTTGCTTGACCAGACACAGGTGGAGATGCCTCTAAAATACCCAGTGAAAACCATGAGCAAGCATGTGGCTGTCATCTCCTGTAGGAATTCCAGACCTAGAGATGGAG